TATTCAAAAGATTTTTTATTTATATAAAATATTTTTATAATTAAGTTATTATAATATAAAATATATTATATATATTAGATAAATATAATATAATATAATAAATAATGTTGATATATCTGAAAACTTTACTATTTCTACAATTTGTATTTAATTATATAATCAAAAAAGTAATTAGAGATAATTTCATATTGTAATAATAATCTTATAATTATACAGGATCTATATGAAAATTTTGTATAATTTCATATTTTATTTCTGATAATATTATAACATTGATAGATTTTTTATACTAAATATTATAGTAATATCTCTCTCAATATTATGTTAATACAAATAGTTAACTTATTATAACAGTCAAAGTGTGTCATTTTTTTATAATTTGATTTTTTATATTCATATTCCAGTTTATAACATTGTGAGCATGCAAAATAAAATATATTAGTTTCAGGATAATACATTAATATAGTAGATTTAGTCATAGATTTAGAAGAAAAATAATAAAATTATTATAAAAACAAAAAACATGATAAATAAGTATAAGAAAAAATTTATTAACTATTACTAACTGAAAAGAGCAAAGTAAGATTAAAATTATTTTCAGTTTGAAAAAATATTAAGATACTTATATTCAAGTATATTCATTATTTTCTTTAATTTTATTTACTATTTATTTTATTATATGTTTTACATTCTGATATATAGTAATTAATTCATTATTAAGTTCAATATACAAGTTGAAAAAAAGTATAATATTTTGTTTAATACTAGCAATTTTACTGAAAATACAATCAGTGATATTAAAATAAGTAATCTTTTAAACATCTTTTTTCTTTTCTAATTGTTAAATAATTCTTTTTTCAGATTTTTAATCAAACAAATCAAATAGATCTTGAAAAAATTGTCTTTGTAAAAAAAGACTCATGAATAATTTGTGTAGACAAGAGGTATATGTATTTATATTATAAAAAATAAAAAGTAAAAATTTAGCTTATATACAAAAATATATAATACAGTCAAATTTCTCTATAATCACACTTATTTATAATTACATCACTCTATAATCATTTTATTTTGCTTTTCTATTTACATATAAATATAATAAAAAATCTCTCTATAGTTACATCACCTTTATAGTTACCAAATTTTGCTTTACTAAAAATGATAACTATAGAAAAGTTTGACTATATTTATTATTTACATAATTTATTTTTTTCTTATCAATATCATAATAAACTAAATCATAATATGCATATGAATTATGTTGTATATAATTTATTAGAAAAAAGAAAAATTTTTTTGACATATAAAATATCAATTACTTATAAAATTCTTTTATAAAAAAAATGAAAAAATAATATATAAAAATTAAAAATATACAACAGTATGTGAATTTTATATCAATATCAAATAGCTTGAAAAACTAACACTATTTTATTATTATTATTTATATTACATATATAAAAACTTTGATCTACATATTTATATATATATTTGAAAATCATATGATTAAATCATCATGTGATCGAAAATGCCTCACCTACATTTTGTCTAACTCAGATTGACATTTCAAGGTGGACGTGTGTTAGCTTGTTCTAATGCTTGCATCAGTAAGCTTTTGTTTACGATTGTAATATTTCTCAAAGTCAGTAATAGATGAACAAGAGGTTTCACATATTGTCACGATCAGACTCCTAGTAGGTATAATTGTGACGTAGGTGTTTAACCAACGTCTGATAATGATAATTTTACGGTTACTCAATCTCATTGTAGTTGATATACTTCAGGATCATCATGCAATGCGTTTTCTTCTATCTTATAAATATGTTCTCACTATTACTAATAGATATTATGTTTACTTAGTGTGGGACAGTCCTATATCAATACAGTACTGATATTCTATAGCAACTTTGGTGATTGTTCAATAATGCGCAATAATGCAAGGTTATTATTTAATCAATTAAGTGTACAAATTTCATTAACAATAAATAAGGAATAGTTTATTAACTAACTAGATTTTGTATTGATCAATTGATGTCTTTTGGTTTATCCAAAAGGTTCTTTATTTATATAAAATAATTTATGACTAAGTTATTACAATGTGGAATATGTTATACATGTCAAATAAATATGATATAGCGAATAATGTTGATATGACTAAGAACTCTGCTATCTCTACTATTTCTACAATCTATGTTTAGTCACATGATTAAAACTAAGAAATTAAGGAATTAAGGATAATTCTGGATTGTAACAACATTATGAAGTACTTTTTGTAAAAAATATTTGAGCTTGAATAAGATGGAAATATCTTGATATCCCATTTGCATCTCTCACTAAAACGTTTAGATATAGATCTTCATCAGCCACCTGGATTCCAACAATATCAAATTGATTACTTGTTGGTTTATATGCAATACTGACAAGACTTATTCCATCTTGGGTTTCTCTCCACAATTTTATAACATTATTCTCTTTTTTTGAATTAGTGCAAATGACCTGTAAAGACTCAATATAAGCGAGTTCAAAAATCTTATCTCCGCATTTTTTTATCACTATAACATCAAATTTTTTCTCTATCAGAACTTTGGGAGAGTGTGAACTCCCCTCTTTATTTGTCCCATGACTTTTTCAGATCTTACTTGCTATACTCTGATATTTCGTGATGCTCATACAAATACTATCATTTGGGAGCTCATTCAAACTGGTCCGAAGCAAAGGTATTGTTACAATTATTTTCAATAATTCCGTAATTAACGAATCTTTTAAAAATAATAGAAAATATGAAAATCTTCAA